AGATGAATTTCAGTGTCAATTAGGTACATTCATGGAGGGTTTATTAATGGCAGTTAGCCATAATAGCTATATGAAACCCAAGAGCTTTATGCAGTTGCCCTTTGTAAAAGGAACTAAGCATTTGGAATACATTGAGGGTCCTCTGCATCAGAAAAGAATCTTCTTCTTTTAAATACAATAATACAAAGTCGGGATAAGCTGGTGCAGTTCTACAGCACAACAGGAACCACAGTTAATCTGCTGTAGGAAGCTGTAGGTGCACTGCTAGGAGCCCTCGCCATGAAAGTGATGCACACAAACTCTGTCTAGATACGCTTTTTACAGTTGAAGCACTGCTGAATGAGGTGAATAGAATGGTAGTGAGAATGCAGCAATGGAGGGTGTGATTCCATATAAGTGAGGTGATGTGTAAGTCCTATATAAACCATGGTTAGGCATTTCTACAGATGTTCATGGGAGTGAACCTCTGATGTGACCACAAATTGGCACGCTGATCTGGTGTCACATTGGCACCATGCTAACTATCATTTGCTATTTTCATCTAGATAGATTAAAAATAAATAAATAGTGACTCATGTTACTGGACATATGCCATGCATTTAAACCCATTTCCAAGAATTAGATGGCGAGTGGTAAACGGCATCTCTTGCAATTTAATTATGTTGCTGGCTGGAGAGTTGTGAGGTTTTAGCATTAGGTTACCAGGTATCATGTTTTCGTATTCACAATTAACAAATGGAGAGAGCAAGATGAATAGGGGCTGAAGGAAATCAGCTAAGGGGAATCTCTGATATCGTGGTCATGGCAGCAGCCCAAAGATTATGACTCAGGAAACCAGGGGTTTTAAGCTTCTTGGCTGAGGTGCTGCATGGACTTCTGGTTTAGTGGTTAGGATCATCAACCTCAAGAATCATAGAATCTTGGAGCTGGAAGGGACCCAAGGGTCAATCTAGTCCAGCACCCTGCAACACAGGAATCTGAGCGAAAGCATCCCTGACAGATGGCCATCAAACTTGTTCTCCAAAGTGTTTTGCAGAACAAATAATTTGGTGCATTGTGCGGATATTTCAAACCTTTCACATTGTGCCCTCTTGTTGAACATTCAAGCCTCCACAGTTCAACGTGGACTTTTCTAAAGCTCTTGTGTCAGTGTTTGTTGATCTAATAATACACGGTAGCAGTACCCAAGTCTTGAATCAGTGATCATTGTCAGATTCTTTTTGCACCTAAGTGGACCATCAACCCTCAAAAACATTTTGGAAAGTCCTGGCAAATATTGTCTACTGTTTGCGGGGGGGGGAGGAGGGATGATCTAAAAAACTTGTTTACCTGCATTGTACCAAAAAGCTTTAGATAAGAATCACTTACCAGAAACTCCCAAGTAATCTTAGCAGTCAAGGGATAAGCAAAGTCATCATATGGATTGGTAACTGCTTAAAAAGCAGGAAGCAGAGAGTAGGAATAAATGGACTGTTCTCCCAGTGGAGGAATATAAAAACCAGAGTTCTCCAAGGACTGGGATTAGGAAAGGTGCTTTTTAAATGGTCCGTTGTGAGGGATGAGGAGTGAGAACAAGTGGCCTCCAGGTCTGCTGATGACACCAAATTATATATTTAAAGTGTTTCAGACAAAAAAGGGACGAGGAGGAACTCCAAAAGGATCTCTCCGAACTGGGAGAATTGGCAATAAATTGGCAAACATGGTTAAAAAACCAACATGTGGCCGCCGGGCCCACATAACACTGGTCCTGAGAGATCTGCATTGGCTCCCAGTATGTTTCCAAGCACAATTCAAAGTGTTGGTGCTGACCTTTAAAGTCCTAAACGGCCTCGGTCCTGTATACCTGAAGGAGCGTCTCCACCCCCATCGTTCAGCCCGGACACTGAGATCCAGCGCCGAGGGCCTTCTGGCGGTTCCCTCATTGCGAGAAGTGAGGTTACAGGGAACCAGACAGAGGGCCTTCTTGGTAGTGGTGCCCGCCCTGTGGAACGCCCTCCCTTCAGATGTGAAGGAAATAAGCAGCTATCTTCTCTTTAAAAGACATCTGAAGGCAGCCCTGTTTAGGGAAGTTTTTAATATTTAATGCTGTATTGTTTTTAATACTTGATTGGAAGCTGCCCAGAGTGGCTGGGGAAACTCAGCCAGATGGGCGGGGAATAAATAAATAAATTAATAAATTAATAATAATAATAATAATTATAACATGTGTCCAAATTTGAGGCCCTCTTTGAGTTTCAGGCTTAGGCCAAATGGCCTCCTGCCTCTACTCTCTGATTGGCCCAGGCAGTAGTAACTTAGTAACTGTGAATAGGTGCAGGGCCTTCCCCTGAGTAAATGAAGCAATTGCTTCAAATGCTGATGCTGAAATTGGCACCAATCCTCAATTTTTTGGCAATCCTTTGTTGCTGCCACTGGCATCCTTGGAAGACTTTCTTTACTGCTGCCTGACAGCACTAACCAGAACTCGGAGAATGTTTCATGCCTCCTTCTCTGGTTCTTAGTACCCTTTCACTTTTGCAAGATCCCCAGCTGCTGCTTTTCTGCTGGCTCTTATGGATCTATCCATCATCATTACTGGCCAACCCAGTAGATGTTCCCGTGGCTGAACATACTTCTTTGCTGGGTCAGGCACAGTGCTGTTTGACTCCCTGGCTGTGCTAGTCCCATCAGCTCCCTAAAAAACAATAGCTTTATCAAACTTTTGTCTTGTCCCCCACCCCACCTCAATTGTGCAAGGTTTGAAAAAGCAATCTTTGATACTGAACTTCCAGTAGAAAAGTTCCGGTGAGAAGCAATGCCAGCCTTTCTCAACCTTCCCAGAATGCAAGACCTCAGGGTAAGCCCCTCTTATAAGCAAAGTGGGGCAAAGTCCTGCCAAGATTCAGAATTCACCAAAACTTCCAAAGCCATGGTTCAATCTTTCTCCTGTCACACAATAACATTAATACATTTTCAGTGGTGGACAGACTTTCTAGATCAGGCATCCCCAACCTGCGGCCCTCCAGATGTTTTGGCCTACAACTCCCATGAACCCTAGCTAACAGGACCAGTGTTCAGGGATGATGGGAATTGTAGTCCAAAACATCTGGAGGGCTGAAGGTTGGGGATGCATTTTCTTGATGGTTCCATCCAGCTCCTCTGCCTGGCCGATCACTAGCAGTAGATCTGACCCCTGTATCCAAGGAAGGAAAAACAACTATCTCACTTAGAAAGGGCTCAGCTTGGGGTAGGTGGGAGCAGTGATGGCTCTTCCCCAACCTTGCTTTCTCTTGGAAGCTAAGCAGGTCAAGCTCACACACACAGAGAGAGAAAGAGAGCACAGAGGGGTGCTAGTTATCTTATAAAGGTAAAGGGACCCCTGACCATTAGGTCCAGTTGCGGACGACTCTGAGGTTGCGGCACTCATCTCACTTTATTGGCTGAGGGAGCCAGCATACAGCTTCTGGGTCATGTGGCCAGCATGACTAAGCTGCTTCTGGCAAACCAGAGCAGAGCACGGAAACACCATTTACCTTCCTGCCAAAGTGGTACCTATTTATCTACTTGCACTTTGACGTGCTTTCAAACTGCTAGGTTGGCAGGAGCAGGGACCGAGCAATGGGAGCTCACCCCGTTGCGGGGATTCGAACCGCTGACCTTCTGATCGGCAAGCCCTAGGTTCTGTGGTTTAACCCACAGCGCCACCCGCGTCCCAGAGTTATCTTATAGTTTTCTTCAAATTTAAGTTCAGAGCTGAAGGTTTAAAATGCTGTAGATCTTCTTTCTTTGCACCTTTTTTTTCTTTAGCAAAGTAGGAAACCCTCCCTGTTGCTTCTCTGGTTACTTATGAAGACACCTGGTCTTTAGGGAAATCGTTCTGAGTATGTGCAGAACCAATGCATGATTCTGATATAGTCTAGTGCTAGCATATGGGGCTATTCTCGAAGCAGTGCTAACCCCTCCTATATCTGCTATCGTGGCTGTGCTGGATTACTCTCATAGCAACAGATGGAGTGGGAGCCTTCCTTGTAGGGCTGAAATTCAGGCAGTCCAATCAGTCATATTCCTTTTGTCCCACTCTCTGCAGAGGTCATCCAACAAGGTAACCAAAGATGACTCAGTACCATAGTCAGACCTGTATCAGATTGGAATGGATCTAAATCTGTGCTATCTAAGATTATTTACAGCTGCCCCACCACAACCCTCTCCACCACCTTCCCCATGAAGAGAGTATTTGCAACTGGTCAATAGTTGTTCCAGTTCAGACCTGGTTTCTTTTGGAGTTGCCACACAACTGCATCTTTCAAGGCAGCAGCGACCAGCCCCTTGCACAATAAAGCATTAACCGTGCTCTTGACTCAACCAGTCAGACCTCCTCTGCTGGATTTAATAAGCCAGGAGGGGTAGGGGTTAAGAGGGCACATGGGATTTGTTGCCATCGGCACCTTGTCCCCATCAGCAGACAGTGTAAACTGAAACTGATCCCACATCACCGAATCTGGCATTGGGTACTTCAGCTTGAGCTGAATCAACTGCAGAGTCAAGATCAAGTGGAGAGACAACAGAATACAAAAAGTACAATCTGTGACTAGATGAGCCCTGGGGTCCCTTTCAATTTTAGAATTCTATGATTCTGTGACAATTTAATTTGAACTTAAATGTGTGCAAAATGACCCTTCACAGCAGCAGTGATGTAGTGAAAGGGGAAATCATTGTCTCTGTTCACACTCAAATGAATAGAATTGAATTTAGTGGTTGAAGAAAAGGATGAGAGAAAAGAGTGATATACATGAACCTGAGGTAAAAGCAGGTGGGTGAGGTAAGAGATCTTAAGAAAGGGCAGATCACTGTGGAATAGATAACAAGCTTCTAATGAATGGTGTAGATCAAGTGAATCTATACAAATGTTCACACGTTCCATGTGATCCTAGAATCTGTATTGGTGTAAGATCTGGAATTTGTATAATCAGCCCTCGATATCTTAGGTACCGAAAAAATATAACTCATATCTCCTTTTGCAGATGTCATCGCAGTTCTTCATCTTCACCTATCATACAATTGGCCAGTGATGAGTCCAACATGCACTCTGTCTGAATTTCATTTTGCAACATCCATACACTGCAAAGTGGATAGGTAGTAAGTACATTGACTAATTTTGTTTCTGTGTTTTGTGTGTGGGTAGGGCAGAGTCATTTGGGGCAGTATGCACCTGAAATTTCTCCTGTGTAATCTCCATTTAATCAAAGACCTGTGGAGGATCATGATTGTGTCACTGGATAATCATTTCAACAGAGGCTGCTATGTTGACATAGATGGTTTTTATATGCTGCCAGGAATATGTATTTTCCATATCATAAAACTTCCCTCATGGGTTCATGGTAATTTCATGCCTCTGAATATCAGTCACTGGGGAACACAAGCAGGAAGGTACTGTTGCCCCCAGGCCTTCATTGTGGGTTTCCCAGTGCCATCTGGTTGCCCATGGTGGGAAAAATGTTTCTGGACTTGATCGAGCTTTGGCTTGATTCTTATGTTCTTAAGGTGTATGCAAGTTCTCTTTTTCTTTTCCTCCTCCACCCTTGTTGCCACAAAGAAGATTCCAATAAGCTGTTAGCATAGTTGCAACCTCTGTGCTGCAGTTTTGTAAGAGGGAGTGGCAACTAGATGATGGGGATTCTATCTCCTGTGATATGCTGCAACCATTATGGACAATTAGCTGCACCAGTCTGCGAATAGCTTTTCATCCTATTATTTGGCAGATGTAGATTTGAGATGATACAAGTCTTCATTAATCGTATCTCTATTATATGCTTTAAAATTCTCTGATGAAGGATGCCACCGACAGGATTGCAACATGTGTTCCTGCGATGAGAGAAAAGGTATTGGGGAACTAGTTGAAAAGACTTTGTTCTCCATTTTGTTGGGTGTGTGTTAGAGCTCTTGCGTATTTAGCACACCCATTTTAGACGCTAAATTCCTCTCCCTTACTTTCAAAACAATGCATCAATAAACACATGTGCAAAAAGAATTAATGGATGGAGAGTGATTCCCCCCCCCCAGCACATCCATTAATGTTGCATACAAAAATCTAAATGTAAAGAATCTAGGTAGCAAGATCAAATGTATTTGTGGTTATAACAGAAGGAACACGAAACACACGGCAAAGCAGATACGTCAAGGCTGGCTTTCCTGGGTAAGAAAGAGTTAATCCCTGTGGGGTTTTCATGTACGTCAGAGCAGGTTCCTGTCTGTGCAGCGCTCAGCTTGGATTGAGAGCTTTTGTTCCTTGTTATTTTTCATGATTTCTTTGCATTTAGTGGTGTGGGTTCCCCTCCCTTCCTTTTTATAAGAACCACACTTTAAAGCATGGCAACAGAGGTTAGATTTACTGCTGTCTTCTTTTTCCAGTGAGCAGGTACTTAGTATACATAGGGAAGGCAAGGCACCACCAGCCTTGGTTCTCCACTGCTTACGCCTTATGCATTACAGTGTTATCATCACAGCCTGCAGAAAAGACCACACCTTTCCCTCCCATTTACATTTTATTGTAACTAAAAAGAGAAAAACGTACATTAAAAAAAGAACCAATGTACTCCACATCAGAAAAAAATCTAAAGTGACAGAATCATGGCATTTGTCATCTTCAGAGCAACTGAAAAAGGACCTTACATTGTATCACAGAATAGAGGAAACTAGGTTCTATAGTTTCTATACCAGTTAACTGCAAAGGGTGACTGTTGAATGGCATTTCAGTCTTGGGGTTGCTCCAGATGATCCCTCATGTTCACTTACACTTCTTCCAAACGTCCAAAGCAGCATTTAGATGTCAATATGACACACAGTGCAGAGATACATGGGCTATGGAGATTTAGGGTCACTCCTCACATGAGGCTTTTAAGATACTTCACATCTAAAAAGTTTTATGTATACACCTAATCATATAACGTGTGTGCATGACAGGTGCCTTTTTTTTTTAGCTGTGTGGGTGACGGGTGAACTACATAACAGGAGGCTGGAAGTGACTGCATCTCCACACCTTGTGTAGACACACTTGCTGCTATGTAATGTGTGAAGAGGTCTATCTGTTTCAGTTGTCTCATTCAATGCAGAAAAACCTGCCTTTGTAGCTAGCTGTGTAGCTTTGCTTCCATTAATGCCTAGTCACCTTGGTACCAGGTGTGAAATGGGGGATAGTTGGGTATGGTTATGTATAGAGTCTAGCCTAGCTACGAACAGCAAAGCAACATGTTGTTTCAAGGACAGGAATCACTAGTTTGGGGTAGTTAATGCAATGCCCTCTTGACGTTGTTGGACCCCAGCCTCCACCAGTGCCAGCTGGCATGGCCAATGATCAGGGATTATGGTAGGCACCACGTTCACTACCTGGGCTATAGCTGAAAACTATTAACAGGGACAAAGGCATAAGACTGGCTGGTAAATGTGGACATGGATGGGGTGAAATCCACAGGACAATTGCCTGAGGAATATATTGCATTGGAGGACAGACCTTTCCTGACCAGATCTCTTTAATTAATGTTTCCATTGCTAAATTGTATGACTCAGTGGCGTCGGGGAGCTTTTCACTGCAACCAAATCGTTCTGATTGCTTAAGCCTCTGGAAGGATTATGAGTGTGTGTTTTAAACTTCAGCCTTTTCTGTCTCGGACTTGGCTGCATGAATCTTTCTCAACCTGAGTACATGGGAAATAAGGAGCTCCATAATATTCACTGGGCTGTTGTCTTCATGTGAGTTATGTCTTCTGTTCCGATAATGCCAAAGCAGTCCTTTTAGAATGGTGCCCTCTTGTGCCAAAAAAAAAGCATCTTTTTCTCTGTGCAGCTAGGAACATAAATGCTCTATCAGATTATTCCAAATTTCCACATTCCCCACTTAGCTTTTCTTACTGTTTTTTATGCATCTGATGCCCACAACAGAAGACTGAAGCATGCTGCCAAGAGTTGAATTAAAAAAACATTTTTTAAAAAAACAACAACCCCAAAACAAACATGAATTAAATGAGGTGAGATGGGAGGATGTCGCTGAGGAACCAGGGAAGGAAGAGGTGGGGGTGAGCACTTTTAGGTTTATAAGCAAGCTGAACACTCCTCTCTCACACCGACTCCCAAGAAATGGGCAACAAGTTCAACTATGAATGTATTAGGAAAAAATGGTCACCTTTGACGCCTGTAAGATGTCTTTCATTCTTTATCAGTGGGGTGAGGATGGAGGGCAGGAAATCCCTTTTCAGGCCACCTTCAACTACATATGGCAGAGGAATCCCAAACTTCAACCCTCTTTTTGAAAAAGACTAACCTCCCCCCAATCTTTCTGGTGTCTTTAACTGTAATCTTTCTACAGAGAGCAAAGGGCAAAGCCAAAAACAAAACCTACGCATTAGAATTTATCCACATTGCTAATGACCTTTCCCTGGCTTTGTTTTCTTTTAATATTGTTATTCCTCATGGATTTAGCTCTTGCATGTTCTTGCAGGTGATTAGAGGTGCTCGGTCCAGCTTATAGATACTCAGTATTTGTCTTTTCTGCTTATATCACAGCTGCGCTTAAAATAGGATCCAGCCGCCACCTGGAGGATTCCAGAAGTGTTGACTACATTTTCCCTTCACCACTTTTGGCCGCTCTGCAGCCTCATAGTTTAATGTGGTGTTGATGTGTGTTGGGGAAGAATTCTTCACATTTCTAGAAATCTGCAAGCCTTGGATTTTCCAAGATAAGGAGGCACCACGCATCCCTGGAGTCCTATATTGTTATGTGCTCCTGGCTTCTCTGAATAGTAGCAGAACTTTCGGGGTTTGTCCTATGGCATTTCTGTAATATTTATTTATAAATATGCAAAGGTGGTGACCAGCAACAGCAAATCCATAACCAGTCCTTAGATCCTCAGAGAGGCAGCCTTGTGCCTCAAGACGCCCCCAGTTAGGGTGGCTGTTCATTAGTCGTGGAAATCTAGTATAAAAGATTGACAGCCCATACTGCCCTTGTGAAATGGACACTTTCTACTTATTTCCATCAAGGGTCCTTTAAGTTATCAAAATTCAAGAAGATGAAGCTATTGTGTGGTCAAGAGTGTTTAAACTCAGGTGCTTAGAGAAGGAGACTGTGTAGGATAGTATCTCTCACATGTAAAAGAAACCCTTTCAAATGGAAAGATTGTTTCTTCCCGTGGAAGGGGCATAAAGAAAAGATATCTGTTTTTATGAGTCACTTATTAGGTTTGTTAATAGAGTTCTGAAAAGTGAACAGACCTTGTTTTCCTGGAAAAATGAGCACACTTTCAAATTCTTGAGTTTTATTACTTATTTTCACTCCAATCTGTGGAAGGTAAGCATGTCATTTTATCAACAGATATACAAAATGTCTATATGTTGTTATGCACTATCCCAATCTTCTCAGCAGTGAGATATTCTAGGATCTGTGTTTCTTTTTGGAAAAATGAGGCACAGCAGAGATTGTGGTGTCTTTATGATACAGTATATGGTTTATTTACAGATATATAACCTGAGTTTTCGATGGAGAGGTTCCCAGTACCACACACCAAGAGCGTCTTGCTTCTTCCCAAGATGCAGTCCTGGATTCAAAACTCTGCCTCCTGCTTGTCACATTACTTCTACCTTCTAAGCTTTTGGCCCACATTGCTTCCTCTCGCTCTTCTCTTAAGCTTTTGGCTTTATCTCCTAAGTGAAAGGGCCCCCACCTCTCTGCCATCTCTCAAAGAGTTTCTTTGATGCTTTGTAGTCCTAATGGCCCATTCCTCAGGTGACTACCTCAACACAGGAAGCTTAGACAAGCTTAATTAGCCCTAAATACATGCTAATTCCAGAAGATTTAGAAGCGTCTAATACATGGGCTTAAATACACACAGGCGTAGCAGTTTTAACACTGAGCCTTAATTAGATTCGGATGCCTACTGAACCCAATAATTTAGGGTTTAGCACCCACAAACTTACAAAATCAGGTTACTAATATTGTAACCTGATGCCTATCTTTGATTAAATTCTTCAGTAGCCCCATACAGAAGATCCATGTAATCTTCTTCTGAAATGTGCATGAATATACATCAGCTTCATTTCTGATGCCCCCAAACATCAAGAAGCATAGAATTAAATCTCATGGACTCATAACCTCATCATATTCCTTAATGGCAGATGTTGTAGGCATGGGCAGACGCTATGCTTGTGGGATTTGTTTTTATAAAAACTTGAGTTCCACCAAGCAGCGCTAGGTACAAAGTAGTGGTTGGCAGAGGCAGAAAAATGGTTTCTCAAGTGGTGGAAGCAAGTGCAATGGGAACAGGAACCGGGTGCAAGAAAGCAGACCTCCAGACCATTCTCCAGAGAAGGAGCGATGACCTGATCTGCCAGAATGCCATGATTGACCTTTCCTGCTCTTCAGGTGAAAGAGACTGAAAGCTTCTTAATTATTTTGGGGAAATATCATTTCAGTATTTCTCTCTGCTACACACAAATTAGCAATATGTAAGTTACGGATTTAGAAAAAATCCCCGAGTTGTACTGGTTACTTATCTGGTGATGCAATAGTGTGCATAACTCAATGAAAAAGGAACTTGGTTCTCACTGTGCATTTCTGTTTACAGGTTATGTTGCAGGACACTCTTGAGAGAGGGTGCCTCCCACTATACTTCGTAGGCAGGGTCTCCAGGCAGAAGAGTGGCACTCGAGACCAAACCAGCAGAGCCAAAATAAGCTCCTCAACCCCATGATGAACATGTTCACCCCACCTCTGGAATCTCAGGAACCATGTAGAAAACTGTAACAAGGTGTGGGGTGAAGAAAACAACCTCAGGACAAGCAAAGGCACGAAATAGCATGTGCTATATGACAAGTAACCAAGGCAAAGAATCAGAAAAACAATTCTAGTAGGGAGCAGAGGACAACAAACTAGAGAAGGGGAGATAACATAAGGAAAAAAGAACAGTGATAAGTTGCAGGAAATAATCAATCAGATAGATCCGCCCCCTGCCCCAAGACAAGAAAGAAAAGGGTACGTCTGGAGGGAAGGACAATTCCACCTGGAAAAGGACTTGAATAGCTTGAATCATAGAATGGGAAGGGACCATGAGGATCATTTAGTCCAGCCCCCTGCGATGCAGGAATATTTCACGCAATGTGAGGCTCCAACCCACAACCCTGAGATTAAGCGTCTCATGATCTACTGAGCTATAGATGAACAGTTCCAAGGAGCCTCCCTACCAAGGATCATCCTCACTACAGAATGTCCTCTGGCCTAATCTGGCAAAAATGTAATTATACTAGTCCTCACTGCTTTGCAATCCAGCAATGGTAATGAGTGTTGGAGCAGATTTCCATGTGTGCTTATCTTGCTGAAGCTGAAGATGCAGGCTGGATGTGCAAGGTATGTATGGTGATGCACCTGCCTACCATATTTAAAGGAACTTGTGAGCCTGTTTTGGACCATCAGTTGTGACCTACATGTACGTCTAGCTCAGTGGGAGCCATTGTCAATTGCGTTTTCAAGCCTTCAGCAGTAACTAGGGTCTGGCATGCCTGATCTCCAAGTTGACATTAGGCAGGAGCTGGCTGCTCTCAGTTCCTAGTTGATCATATGTAATGAATGCAAACTTTTAGAAAGATTTTGCAATATGTTGTTTGCTGAGGAGAAAAAGTCTGAGGAGGGGAGTCTGCTCTAGGGGTGTAAGCTTTCCCTGTGTCTTAAAGTTCAGACTGTGCTGCATTCTACTTTGCAGCACATGGACAAGTGTGATCCTATTATCCCACTCAATGCAACTGGAAGTGTGTGGAGTCAAATGCCCAGAGAGTCACATATAGAACACAATCCAAAGACCACTTGTACTCCAGGGTAACAAAGCTGAACCTGATCCCTATTGTACATTCAATACAACTTAAGGCAATTGCACCACATTTGTTGTAAAAGACATTTGACTATATAAAAAGAGAGAACAGCATTCTCTTCATTAACATAATTCTTTATTTTTGTTCCAAGTTATGTGCCCTTGTTGATTCAACAATGAGACATGGAGCTTCAAGTCCTTCACTGATCAAGGTGGGTACTGATTTGGAAACAGACCGTTTGCCTTGTTTGCTAAAATGCTCTCACTTTCTCTAACTTGTAGAGTCACAGAGCATGTGGACAAATGCCTTTAACATTTGCACCTTGCACTCAGCTGGGTAAAACAAAAAATTAGTAAAGACAGGCCAAGGGCTGCAGTGGGTTTCACATATATATGGATATAAAATCTCTTAAATAATGTTTTCTTTTATTTCCCTTTTCTTCAGGTAACCAAAATAAAAATGATTTTACAACTAGATGTTGTGCTTGCCGCTTCTCCTCCTCCCCCTAAAAACAGTACAAAGAAGGGTCTGCAGCCACCTGCATTCTTATCTCACAATCAATCTCTGAGCTGGTAATGCTGTAATATGGGCAGGGAAAAATGGTAAAACGTGAGTTTCTGATGGATAAAAATCTTCCTACGTAGTGTGTCTGGTGCAATGATGTGCTTTGCATTTTCATAGATATGCTAGACAAGAAGCAGGTTACATTCTATGCTGGCACCAATTTGTTTTATGGGGAAAAAAATATCTAAGGATGTTTGGGTCACAGGCATGTGGAAAGTTTCTGGGCTCAATATTTAATTATACAGATGTTTAGTAAAAATGTTTTTTTCTGTAATGCTTCCAAGGATGCTTCCGTTTCTGAACAATAAAAACAATCCCAAATTCTTAGTTAAAATCCTGGTTTCCCAATTTATATTAGCACACCTCATTACAAGCATAATAGTGAAGAATGATTCGGTTGCCTTTTAAAAACAAAAGGGAAAAATGAAGAAGATTGTGATCTTTAAGGAGAACGTCTTTCTTTTTTCATGAGTAAATGACACTGAATGGCACGGATCCGATTCTTCGCTGGTGCAAACTCGGGTTGGAGTTTCAATGTTGATTCATACCATCTCATGGCTTTCTCAAACTCCTCCTGTAGGGCCCAGATGCAAAATGGTTAGTGGTCAAAGTACCAAAAGCCCCAGCAAAGCACCTACCAAACAGGTACCATGCTATCGATAGCAAGTCTATGGTGTTGAACATCAGGCTAAATTTCACAAGGCTGCTTGTTGGATCGAGCCAGGAACAAAAACAACAGCTGAATTCTGGCACCTTTCAATAAACCATAGTTTAAAGTAAGCTCACAAGAAACTAGGTATTTTTTAAAAATAACTGAAATAAAATAAACTTGGAAGTAGATGCTTTGAATCTCTTCCTCGCAGCAATGCTGGAAAAGGGGAAGGGGAAAGGAAGTCTGCGGCCTGCTTCTGCTAATTTCTGTAGTGCTAAAATATGATTAAGGGTTATATCCAATTGGGTCCTTTGTGTAAAGACATTAAGTAAGGGGCCTAAGACTCAATATCTTACTTTTGTGTTACGGTAGCCACTGAAAAATGGGAGTTGTATGCACACAGTTTCACATGAGAAGCTATTTGTGCAAGGCAATGCACTGTATGCATCGGCTCAAACTACACCGGCAGTGCATAAGAAGCCAGCATACACACTGCTTCTCTTGAGGACCAGGGTTTTGTGGGTTTTTTTGCCAGTGACAGTGTCATCAAGGTAACACAGAAATTGGCCTGAAGTCATGGAACTAGTTTATGGCTTCTCAATGACTTAGCACAAGTTATTTCCAGTTTAGCATTACCTTCAGGAAATGGAAATAATATGGTCACATTTTGTTGAGGGGTGCAGATTTTTAAGTTTTTGTTTTTTAAAAAAAGGCTTAGTTTTTAAATGAAAAAATTAAGAATGGTAAAAATCAGTTTATGAAATATATTGTGTCAGGAAGAGATGGATCATGTGGAGTTTTTACATGTCAAGACGGGACAACCAGTTGCATCATATTGGAAAACTAAAAGCCACAGAATTTCACGGCAGCGTCAGTTTAGATCTGTTTTCCCCTTTGCTACTCCTTGCTGTTCTTATACCAGAAGAGAACACTTCTAACCTGCTAGCATTCTCATGTCAAGATGCTCCTCACAGCCAATGTACTCATTCATGAGGTTATTGCACTCCCTGATGACCCAAAAACCCCAGACTCAAACATTAGACTGGCAGAAGGGCATGACTGGTCATTGGCCAATCCCACACTCCACTGCATTTTGTCCCTAATCTATGCCTTATTTGAATGCAACTTCCTACAATTAAGCCCAGAATTTTGACATTAATAACACCTTTACATTTATCAAAATGCAGAATTTCTGCCATTTCTGCAATTGCTCCTTTGTTGACCCGTCTTCACACAAAAACTTCTATCAATGTTGGTAAGGCATCGCTTGTGCGTTATGTGAACTTGCTGCCAGCAAAACTTAATGGATTGATGTTTTTCCATCTATTCACAACTGTGTGCATACAAATATGTGTAAAGGCACACTAAGATATACCCCTTATCCTTGTTCAGAGTAAGAATGATCCTCCCAGCAGATCATCCCAGACAGGAGGAGCTTTTTATTTATATTTTTTAACAAAGCCAGCCAGTGCCTCTGGTGGCTGCTGGAGATATGGTGGTTGCCAGGGCAACAGAGAGTGACATGGGAAGAAGACGACGACCATGGTGCTGTTTCCAGGTTGCCAGTGATGCAATGCTCTTTAATTGCATCCCCCATCAACTGAGATGCTTCCACAGCCCACAGTGTCCTATCAAATGCTAGCCAGGCTTCATGCCAAGGGGGAACAGGTCACGTGCTATGAGGATGCCTAAAACTCTACTACAGGAAGAAAAAGGAAGAGTGGCATGACAAAGAACAGTGCAGGACGCTGCCCCCACCCTTATTGCTTGGGACTGGGGAGGGCAAGCACCACAGGCACCAAACCAGAGAGAAACTTGATCAGAATTGGGAAGCTGGAGATACCCACATAGCGTTTTGAGTATTAGCCAGATGATATCAACTGTCAGAACCAACAAAACCAAAAGGGACAACTCTCTACCTACCAGCTACATGACTAATTGCTGTCTCCACACACAACTGTGGTTTCTCTCCTTGTTCCTAAACTCTACCTATCTGTAACACTGGAGCATCAGGATGCTACGAAAGGAAAGGGAACCGAATCTAATGATTATTCACTTACCATTGCTACATAGACATTAGCCAATGTGAAATGATTGACAACAAAGTGTGGAGCAATTTCTACTGCCATTGTAGCCACAATGATGGCATCATTCCAAAGCTTTGCATTGTGAAAGATGTTTGCTAGGCTTATGAGTGGCACATCCTGAAAGAGAAGAAAAGTGGAACAAACCTAGTGAGAAGAGTATGTTGCTTTAGGCCGAATCAGGTCATTGGAAATGACAGCTGTTGAAAGAACCGGCTTTGCTTATTAGGGTCAGATTCTATTTGGGGGGCTTTTCTTTTCTTTTCTTGCATTGCCAAGACAGATTTTAATGTATAATGGCAAAATGAAATGACAACTGTTTAACTGACAGTGTGCCAACAGAATTTCCTAAACAAATAAATCATGCTGAGATTATGAACTGTCCAAAAGGAAGTGCCTTTTTGTTGTTGTTTTTGGGAGAAAGAGTTTGGTAGCCTGATATCCTGAAAAGTCCAGGTCATCTATGTGCAGGCATGCAGCTGGTTTTGTGTTCCATTATGGGAGCAAAACTTAGCTAGCCTCTGTTGTGCCTACTGCAAGCACACAAAACACAGGCTGGATCCAAATGCTCTCTTGCGTTTTGTTTTGGGAGGTGGACGTTTCCCCAGCTATAATCCTTCATACTGCACTGCACACTGCCCTCTATCCAGAACAGCTTTCCAGTGGGGGAAGAGGCTGCAGCCAAGAGCCGAAACCAGCAAGCCAATCTTATTATTGTGAACGGAAGTGTTTCTGCCACACTTTATATCTATTTTGAAGGCAACTGGAAGGCAACTGTAGATGATTGCCCTAAAATACTTTAAGGTTGTCTTGAAACTTCTGTATTCAGTTATTTATTCATGTGGGAGATGTTCTGGAGGCGTTAGTAACAGTGAAAGCACATAAACTTAGACACACAAACTGAAAGCTGGAAATCACAGACAGGCACACAGGCAATACAACACATACCTTCATATGATAGGGAGTATGATGCAGAGCTTGCCGGAGGCAGTCAATTGCTTTTTTCCCTTGACCTTTTACCCTCCAGTAAAGGGCTGCCATGCTGGAGAGGACCCAAGAGGTTTGATTCTGGTGTGGCATAAAAAACACAAGATGGGGTGGGAGGGGGCAATATCATATATCATTCACATTTGCACAAGGACCTCATTATTTTCCTTCATCCATCCTAAGCTTATTCAAAAATTAAGGCACTTAACAACTTAGTAATGCACATCTTGTCTATGCAGACAGCATTATATCAAAGGGCGCTCATGGATGTCTGCAATGGGTACAACGGCTATGTGCTTTCTTCCAAGAGCAGAAGCTCGTATTTTGCTTAGTGCAGAAATGCTGCCACTCTTTGGTGATTTTCAGTAACCATTTTAACTACTGGTTAAGAGTTATGTTTCCCTTGAGGTGTTTCAAAGGAGTTGGATGGTCAGAGACAGGGCGGTGGGGAGAAGAAGCCTGGGATGAATGCCAGCATGCCTGTTTTTCAAAAGGACCAACGAAGACGCTATAATCTCTGAAAAGGTACATTTAGGGCAGGGATCAGTGAACTTTTTCAGCAGGGGGCTAGTCCACTGTCCCTCAGACCTTGTGCGGGGCCGGACTATATTTTGAAAAATAATAATATGAACGAATTCCTATGCCCCACAAATAACCCAGAGATGCATTTTAAATAAAAGGACACATTCTACTCATTTAAAAACACTCTGATTCCTGAACCATCCATGAGCCAGATTGAGAAGGTGATTAGGCTGCTTCCGGCCCCTGGGCCTTAGTTTGCCTTCTCATGATTTAGGGAGACCCGAGACTGGTGCATTGCCAAAGGGAAATGGTAAATAGGCGCCCTTTGACAGTGTAAGAGGTTTCTGGTCTAATTTAGGGTGTTTTCCGTTTAAAATAATAAATATAATACTGAAATCAACACA